ATGGGAGCTGAAAGGAAGAACCTCCAAAGCTTCAGTCAGCTCAGTAGTTCGTGTATCTCGCCAGTGCTTCCTGCAGCTTTGAACTTTCTGAACAGTTTCAAGGAACAACAACTGCTTGTGGAGATCTTACACCCTCTTCACTTCCATGGTTGTTGGTGCTTTGTGAACTCCTCGTTCGAGCATGCCCGAACATTCGTTCAGCCACATCCTCCAGGTCAAGCATCAGCGACCCCAGCGACGCCAGCTGCCACACCGGTGGTGCTACACCCGGTGGTTGTCGTCCACTTGTGGCAATGGGGTACAAACCAATGGTGACATCAGGTTCCATGCTAGTTCTGGACGTGTAGAGCTCGGAACCAGAGCGGGGATGTGGCGCGTCAATCTTCTTGCCACAGATGCGGCCATGCTTGCTTCGCAGATCATTGATGGGTACGTGACAAAGCCAAACGATTCAAACGATTGATTCATTTGTCTATACAGTTCCGATCATTTTTTGTTGGTACATGGGGAATACACAGAGGGACACAACAAGTTGTTTGATGGCTACGCCTCCCAAAATGAAACCCAGAGAGCAGGTGTCTATCTTTCCCTTTGACAGTGGGTTTGCAATGTGCCCTACATGTTGTTTCTTGGATTGTCATAGAGTGACAGCTCCAAGTCACCCCAGTGGAAGATTATATGAAATATGGGGGAAGAGGGCAAGAGATCCATTTCCATGAACAAGAATTCACTCAGAATAGACAGGAGTGCATAGGTGGACGAGAATCAGTCGCTCTGTGCTCCGGAGATCACATCGCTCCGCTGCTCCGGAAAGTCAACTCCATCAAGCAAGGGTTCGCCCATCATTCGTGTGGCCATCGAACCATGGTGGCTCATGAATGTCAGTCTGCTTGATCACACGAAATCGAGCGTCAGCTTCACATCGAAGTCTGTGGGCCAGTGGGGATCCAGCCGATGGGACCTCTCCGATCGCGGGCCGCTGGGTGATCAATAGAGAACATGATTGAGCAGGAAGAAGGGGTTCTGTGTGGCCGCTCAATGGTCCAAAAAAGTCAAAAGAACTGCCGCTGGACAGGGAGTTCCGAGACACATCTTTGTTTTGGTTGGCGACGCCAAGCGGCAAATGCATTCATGCACTAATAGCCCAAGTGGCTTTTCAAACGTTGGCATTTCCCATTCTAAGACGTGTCCAGCGCATTCTTTGTGCAACTCTGCAGGAGTAGACGTCAGGATCCGACTGCCTACTAGTAGGGCCTAATCGGCACCGCAGCGCGGATGCTAAGCACCGCTGGTGGAAGGTGCAGATGCCGTCTGTCGAGTGGCGAGGTGAGTGTGGCGTCATCGATGTGTGTTCCTGCAGCTGCTGCAGGTCTCACGATGAAAAACACACGGGTGATAGCAAAAGAAATCTCAGGATAGTATAGGAGTCGTTTCCTCTCGGCTTCAGGTCTACGATGACCCCCCAAATAGATAGAAAAAGATGAAACAAGTGAATCTTGATATTGTAGATATTCAATTCAACTTATTCTATACTTTCCAAATTGATACAAAGTATAGACAATTGAACATGTACTGGAATGATGCATTCTGCATTTCTATCTCTCTGGACCTGGAGACATCTGCAATCCTGCTCTCCCAGGTGGCGGCGGTTCCTGTCGCCAAGGCTCAGCCGGCACAACCCGTGGCCGGGCACCCGGTCCGGAGCGGCGGGTCGCAGTAGGGTGCCACGTAGCGATGCCAGGAGCTACGTTCGTAGCGTCCGAACGCTCCTAGTGTTATATGATATCAGGCCAATGCGGCGAAGAAGATCAATAATCAGATTTGTTCCTGACAAAACTCAACCAGATCGTTTGGGTGTTGGAGTCACAGGTGTTGCTTATATGGTGATGATAGCAGCTCACGTTCCGGTGACCACAGCGAACTCGGAAGCCCGTTGCGACCGCCAACGGACTGAAGTGAGGCCACGGTGGTGGCGACCACGGTGTCGGGGAGCACAGGGTTGCAACGGGAAGAGGCAGACAGATTGGGAATGAATTGGAGATGAACATGGTCACAGGGATGTGGCCCATTGCTCACTGAAAGCTAAGATTAGGCCTAGGCTAAGATGATATTCCCTTTCATGGTGATACAGCGATAGCTGCATTTCGGTCAGGCAAAGGAGTTGCTGGTTAAGGAGGATCTTCTTTCAGGGAAACCTTGTTCCGGTTTCATGGTGAGTTTTCTCGAACTGGAGCAACCTGACCCTAATTAGACTTGAGTTTCCAGCTTCCACTTGGCTGACAGCATCAATATGGCCTGGCCATGGCTTTACTCCACCTTCCTGGGAACGCCGTAAGTCTTGCTGAACTCAACCCAGGTGCCAAACCCGGCGTTTGCACCGCCCCAAAGACCTCGGTGAAAGCGCCGGTGCCGATTCGACCGGTTCGGTGGTTCAGGACGGTTCGGTGATCCGTGGCTTTTCGGGCGTTCTTCAGTGGATGGTTCTTGAGTGAACGTCGGAGAAGCATCTCTAGCTGATGCTTTCGCCAACCCCATGACTCCCAGTCTGACACTTTGACAGCTCACTGATTGTTGAATGGAACTCTCCCAACAAAGACAAATGAATACAAATGACAAAACATGAAAAACCACTACACTAAGACTTTGTTTGTATGGTATCTTCTTGTATTTTCCAGTCTCCAGCACCAAGTGCCGTGTTTTCTTTTTGGTCCTCCACTGGCCGGGGGGTGAACTCGCCGCGCAACCGGTCTTCCACGGGTCCCGGCTCCGAGCCACGGCAGCGAGGCAGCGCAGGAATGAGAAGGAGGAGCTCACCAAGGCCTTGACGGCCAACCTGAAGGAGCTCAGCGGGACGTCCGTGACTGCCCAGTGGGGCCCTCGGGGGTTTTCAGGACTGGGTGATGTGGAGGCAGATGAGAATGACACCGCGCGGTGGGTGGAAGACGCCGGGAGGGGTGGGAGACAGGGTGGGAGACAGGTGCGACCGACGACTTCGAATTCCTTGGAATGGAACTTCTACAGCTGGCACTCCTTGAGCAACCCTGATGAACACATCGTGTGGGTTGGTTGATGGAGGTCTCCCACTTTAGTGAGTCAGTGAGTCGGGGTGATGGACACAGACATCGGTTTAAGAAGCAAAAGGCCTCAAACCAGGGAGATCGATGAACTTCCCATCCCTGTCCTGGTCATTTTTGGGTGGGCACACTTTCTTTCGTTGACCCACGGTGTTGCAGCCACCAAATACTCCGCACCACTTTGCTGATGTGACATGCAGGGCGGTCCGATTTCACCGCGATGACAGAAAGTCGGAGACCCGAAGGTCTTGGACCGGCCGAAAGGCATCAGGAAACCAGGAACTTTCAGCTTCTCCGGATGTGTAAGCTTTCACAGCTTCTGTCACATAGACCCAAGTGGTTCATTTTGTTCAATTCTTTTTCTGTGCAACTGGGTGAGAAGTTTTTTGGGCGTGAAGAGATCGATGGTTGAGAGCCTGATTATCGGGCATGAAATTGGCAATGGAAGCCCCAAGCCTTGTCTAGACTCTAACAGACCAAAACCTTACGGTGATATTCCAAGAGAATAGCTGATTATTTCAAGAGAATAGCTGATTGTTTGGGAAGGGTTGCCTACAGCACTTGACTCTTTGAAGACTTTTCAAGGAACCATCCTGCGTGTACCCGAGTTGCTTTCTGCTTCGGTCGCAGTTTTTCACGGTGCAGGAGAGATGGCCCTCGGTGGTTGAGCCCATGACCAAGGAGGTGAAAGAGCAGATGGACAGGAGCGCCACTTTGAGGGCTCAAAACAGACCAAGGACTCCGATAGAACCCCACGAGGTTAGGTCTATTTGCGCTCTTGGGGGGGTAGAATATTGTGTCAGCCACACTCATTTGTGGAGGTTGGTTGATGATCAGAATTCAATCGCAACTTGTGGAGCAGATCCAAGATCCCCCCATTTTTCAGGAGGGGATCCACCATTTAAGGCAGTGGGTTCCCAGAGATTTCATTTTTGTTCAAGTTACTTTTATGTCTTTACCTTGGGAAGTAGTGCTGAGCAGGTCAAGAGGTAGGAGCTTATATTTTTTTGAATGGTCCTGGTGTCCTGGTATACGGCATACTGTTTTCGAATAACCACCTTCCAGGCTGGGTGGATGTTTCTGTTTACACTCCTGACGGCCATCCTGGACCTCGAAAACGACTAAGTGTTTGGAAAGGACACGACTCACGGCTAGTCTTCCAGCGTCCATTCGGAATCGCTTTTAGTTGGGCGCACAAATCCGCGACACAGATGGGTCGATGACGTGGCTTGTACAGCCTGCTCCAGTGGGTTTTCAGCTAGTCATCGCTTCAGGAAGGAAGAGCTTCAGCAGGCGCAGAAGAAGCTGGAGCAGGACCGGACTCAGATGCTCGGGTAGCTAGACTTCTCATGGCGACTCGACTTGGATTGTCCTTGTTCCGAAGTTTCAGGAGCATCAGCCAGTGGTTCCTCCTCAGCATTTTAATGGGTACCCTCGAGCTCTCGAAGCATCATGGAAGTGAAATATGACCCCATTCGAAGACTTAGGAACTGCATTATAGGGTTCAGATGGACGAGAGTTTACCTTGCTTACAACAGTTGCATGGAAGCAATCAAGTCTTCCAGCTTAGCAGCTAAAGACTGCCACAGGTGCCTCAGTGCTGTTTTCGCACGTGTCTATACGGAGCATCAATGCTTTCAAGAGGAACAAGGGCAGATGCAAAAAAGAAACAATCAATCAGACAGCCCCCCCAAGAGAAATCAGCTCGACAGGGTAAAGGACATGCTTATCTTCCAAAGCTTTCTGAGCCGCAGGAGCGCAAGCCTTCCCAAAACTCAACCTTTACCAAGTGGGTGTTGTGTCGACAGATCTTCGGATTGAAATTTCCGAGCATTTTTTTGGCAAAATCTTGCAACTACTGCAGTGCGCTTTTCTAAAGTTCGTAGTTGAGGGAAATGCAGCAGTTATAAATCCAATCCTTGATCTCCTTGATCTCTCTTGCCCAGTGGCAGGGGTACGGTCTTTGAGGAAAAGGCAAGTATTTCTGAGAGTGCTTCGAGCAAAGCTCGCCATGGCATGCGGCTTTCACTTCGACTTTACGGCGAACCAATGGATGCCAGCCTCCCCACGGGCAGGCCGAAAAGGGAATCCAGAACCGAGTTAGAGGGTGCCCCACCCTTCCCACAACCATTTGCCACAGCGAAAAGCAACCGGTGTTGGGAAGATGGTGAAGATGGCTTGGTTGAGATAGATTTGCTCAGTAGGATTCATATATGGGTATGGGATGAGACGAAGCACCAACACTGTGAACATTGTATTCAATTGTGCTCCAGCTTACATGAATCAGGAGTTCTCCTATCGATCTGAATGTCCAGCTGCGTAGATAGCAGACACCGTTTCCAGCATGTGGTGCCGGCTAGACATGTGGAAGTCTCAGTTTCGTTGAAACCTTGCTCAGACTCTGGTGGCACAACTTCTGATGCTTCTGGAAGTGCCGTGCAGACGCTGCGCGTGGCCACACTCAATGTGCTGGCAGATTGCTTCCCGTGGGCCGTTGAGCTGATGATTTGCAGTGAAGATCGCAGGAGACTTGGATCATGTGGAGTTGGTTGACCTCAGAGTCACTCAGGGCCTCGAGGGTCTCGGGCCCCGGGGATAACCTTTAAAGCGGCTACCCGTGTCGCTCACGGGAGCGAACTAGATGATTTCCAGGAAGAGATTCTCTTAATGGAAGGGGTCTGAAAGAATAGGATGGACATGAGTGGACGTCGAAAAACTTGCTAACCATTCTCCTTGCGTGTGCCCAATCAATGTTACTTATTGGGAGTGTATACCGTCTCATTTTCCTGCACCTGGGACACAGATCATATGTGACATTATATGATTATACAACAATAATATATATATTATATATATAGGACAATTGAAATATTGGGAACGCATCTCTACCCAACAGACCATGGAATTGGATGGCACATGATTACATGTGGGAAGAGTGTTCTTTCCTCGGCCGTTGGAGGGCTTTCATCCGCCGTTGGAGGCAGAAAGGTGTCGATTCCGATCCCAAACCGAGGAGAGCGCTGGTGACCTGGCAGTCGGACCAAACCGCGCGACGCCGAACGAGTAGTCCGCCCAGTCTGAAAGCCCTGAACCCAGATCTGGGGAGCTCGGAAGGTGGGCGAGCCCTTCCTCCATGAGTCAATGAAGGTGGAAAACGGAGGAAGCAGGCCTCCTTAGTAATTAGATGAAAACCGTCTTCCAAGCTTGGGGGCCATGTTCCACTTCCACGTTTCGTGGACGGTAGTTCCTGGAAGTTCCCCCTCAAACGCTCCTTGGACGGTTTCGGCCCCCTTCCCAATGAGAACATGCAATTCTTCCAGTAGCTCTATGTAGATCCCAATTCTTCGCATATTGGTTCCAACAGCGATCCACTGTCCTCAATCGGTCGACGTCAATTGGCCTGGATCGGAGACCCTGGGAGGCCCCCACCAGGCACAGATTTGACCTAATACAATCTGTACAATAGAAGATGATGGGGCCTTATTGCTACTTCATATCCCGCTTTCGTTTGATTCTTTTGTGTGTCAACTGTTTTGTGGGTGACGCGTTAAATCCCAAAATTATCCCAAATACATAGGTCTTTTCCTCACAGGGGTTAATTGGTAAACCAGATCAAAAGGCCGGTGGGATGTGAGAAACCACGCCGCTGGCAGGTCGTAGAGATGGCTGAGCTGGATGCCACAGTGCTGGGCCTCAACGAGGCGTGGGTCAATGAAGAGCCACCAAAGCGCCAATCAGTTTGGAAGGACCATTCCCCCAAGAATGTGGAGCCCCAAGAATACTCGTAGGCGTATATACTGTAAATTGGAGACGTCCACAGCATGAAGATCTACACATCAAGATACCTCCTTGGGACCTTCCGAAATCGGAACTCTTCGGTGACGCCCAGGTGACGCCCGGACTCCTCGCGGCGCTCCTGGCGGAGCCCTTCGTGCGGCAGAGCTACTGGGTGTCGCCGCGCGGCGGAACGGAGCGGAGCGCTGAGACGGGGGTGTGGGTAAGTCAGTGCTCTGCATGGAAAACCACATCAACCTATTAGTATGACTCTAAGTTCGGGGAGAGCATCCAATCCGGATCCTAAGCGAGAAAGCATCCGAAAGCATCCCGGGCAACCTCTAACAGGGCGCCATGAGCATCGATCCGTGGTCGATCAGTATCTTCCCAGCATCCGAGGCAGCTGACGATGGATCAGACTCACGGCTGTGTCTTGTTCTCGAAGATTCCCTTTGTCGTGGTGCTGCAGAAGCAGGTCACCGAAACACGCCCAAAGAAGCAGCGGAAGGCCTGGAGTTTCTCTCTCTTCTTTTTGCTGAGGGTGGTACCACCACGCTGCATGCGGGAGTTTGGACTGAACGGGGTGGTGATAGGTGGGTGACCCTAAAGATGTAGTTGGATCATTTTGGGTCCAAGTGCTGCAGATCACCAAGCGACGGGCTCAGGTGGTGATTGGTGTCTTTGAAGACAAGGACGCAGCCCCATTCGCTGTGGTCTCCCAACACACGCAGGCGCACCAGCCACTTGGAGGTGTTGCTGTCGATCCGCACGGAGGTGTTGCTTTGCCAATTCCAAGTGATTGGTATTTTTACAAGTCAAATTAAGCCAATACCTCTGATGACTCCACCGTGCCGTGTAACAGCCTGGATTGTGATGGATTGTGTATCTTTCATGCTGAAACGGAGTCCAAGGTCAGAAGAGAATTTACAACTTCGCAAGCTTCAAATCCGAAATGCCTGTGCTGCTGCAGTGGAAGCGTTGGGAACGGATGCGGACCACGCGGCCTTTGTGTTAATGGGCGCCTCGAAACATATCAACCTGGGACACTGGTAGATCGCGACAAGAGAAAGTTTTGAAGTCACAGCGGAACACGTGAACGAGGTTTGCACAGCTCGAACATTGGGTGGGTGAAGCATGTACATTCTGTGTCCATAGCCGCCATAGCCCGTGACCAACAGAGAAAGTAGTAATTTAGCAATATACATATATCGTCTACTGGTATGTTCAGCCGGTGAACCTTGGGAAGAGCATGGAACACATGTCAATAACCAAACGGAAGAACAAAGAGAATCATCCCATGTTCTTAGCAGAACCAAGTCTTCTGACCACCTGAAAGACTAGCTGACGCTTGCTTCCAGGATAGCCCCCCAATGGTGAGTGGCCCAACTATACCCCAAGATCAGTGATTTAAGACTGTAGTTTGCAGCTTTTGCTTCATGTTTGGAAGGAGTCCTCAATCACATGCTTGGGTTTCGGAACCTAGGTGATCTAAACTTCCACTACCTCTGTGAAGACTCTACGATCTTGGAGAACCACTTGTTGGATCTCTGGGCAGAAAGCCATTTCGATGAAGGCAGCGGTACCATCGATGAAGGCTACACCTACGACAGCCAAACCAACCTCATGGTACCACGCTACGTGGTCGGAGAAAACCGACGGATGCGATTGGATCGGATCCTTTGTGCCTTGGGCAACCGTCGAGGGGCGTTTTGGGTCGAGAGTGAAAAAAGGCTGGAGTGATGAGTTGAAAAAGACCACCTGGCTGAGAGCCTCCCGTTTTTTTGCATTTCGTGCGCACGTGTTCTTTCTGTTTCTTTCGGTCGTTGTGACAGACTCCGACTATGACCCAAAGCACACCATTTCGTCCAGCCACCAGCAAACCTTCGGCCTCTTCCGAAGACCGGGTGTTCGTAACAATCCAAGACCATCCAGGAACTGCTAGGCTTACTTAACCACAAACAAGATCCACATGGTGACACATCGGAGGGCTGCTCCACAAATGCGGCAGGTTCCAGAGCCTTCTTCGAGAGGTTTCAGGTCGCAAACAAATGCCGACTCTGGGCGCAGCAGCCCATCAACGAGCGGGAGACTCTCTGGATCAGCCACCTGCATGTGCTCCAAGAGTGTCCGCTGTTATTTTTTGCATTCGTCGGGCAGACAAGGTCTATCAAGTTCTGCGGCCTTTGGTTGGCTTTTCTAGTAGTTCACCTGAGATGTCTCTTCTCTTTCCACTTCAGGAGCCTCTCGTCTTGTTTTTTGTAATTAATCTGTTTGATTCCAATATGTCTCCCTTGTGTCCTTGATTGAGGCGATCACTACGGCCTGGTGGTCGACCTCCAGCGCCGCCGCGGCGCGCCTGGCGCGCCGCCGCACAAGCCGCCCTCGCCCGACGTCCTGGCGGTGCTGCGCGCGCGGGGGGCGACGCCCCGCGAAGGCTCGAGCTACACGGCTTGGAGCTTTGTGGGACGAGCACCGAGGCACTTGGCGCACATGGCGGTGCATGCCGTGACCGGTGCAGGAGCCTTGAAGGGCAAGTACAGGTGAAAGTGCCGAAAGGGCCTGGGGCCGAATGAGGTAGCTCTGGAGAGGCCCTGGGCATAAAGTCACCGAGGAGACGGGACTTTGATGAAGATGTTTAGAGGCAGGCGGTTGAAGGAAGATGTCTGGAAACCATCGAGAAGTGCCATAGCACACTTTAGAAGTAGAAGGGGATCGGTTCTTAGCGGGTATATGCGGGTTATATACTACCTTTTCTGTTCAATTTAGTAATCGCCGCTAGAACCAGCGCTTTAAGATAGCCGCGATGGTTCTCCAGGTTTCTTGGATCAACATGAATCCAGCCGTGGTTGACAACGATGCCATTGATGCATCTTTCTTTGCACTGTGTGTGCACTCACTCTGCATGCAACAGTTTTAAACGCCGAGTCTGAAGTGGTTGGGCGCATGTGTCAACATGGTCGCATCAGGTGAAGAACACATAGGTCATCAGCTGCTACTTTGCGTACAAACGTGCAGAAGGTGTATTTTTGATTTTCTTTGATCGATCTTGGTTGCTTGACCAGCACTTTGGACCTTAAGCTTTTGGATCTAGAGTCATCTAGGATCTACATCCAGAGCTCGGCTGCAGCCGTTGTGCAGATCTGGCAAAGCACGCTGAGCGCAGGGAGTCAAAGGCCGCGGAACAGTTCCTACAGGTCACTGGGTGTGGACACAGTTGTTTAAGCCACAAAGAGATGTAGACAACAACAGATTTGGACATATTAAGTATTTTATATTTAAGTATGTTACATATGTTGCAACTATGCGACACTTTGATCCCCCTTAAATCTGAAGAGGTCTTTCCGCCTTGGGTCGGTTCAAACCATTGTGGTCGCCCTAGAAGCACTCAACTTTAAGCCCAAGTTGCTCAAGTTCACAACGAGCTGCCACGGGACACCTCCGGCAATGGGTCCCACCCCGTTCATTGGATCACTTTGGAAAACATGGCTGCCATCGATGCAACGACCATCGATGACTTGGTGGTTGACTTCGACCCGACTTCGTTGATGGAGGTTTGGGGACTTGCCACGAGCATGTGCCAGTGATCGGGTTGATCCCCTGAACGAACCAGGATGGTTAGAGCATGATGAAGCTTACGTCGACCATTTCCCTCCAGCGACTTGGATTCTGGACTTGAAATCTGCGGCGACATGGAGGATGAAGCAAGACGTCTCAGGTTGGTGTAGGGCTTCGTGGCTTCTGTCAGTATGATGGTTTCGCCGCCGCTGTTGGTCTCGAAAAGCAAACGAAACAGAGCACCATGTAATGTAGTTTAATCAAGTGGCTCCTCTGACCTGCCGCCTTCCGGCCTTCGTGAGCTCGCACGCAGGAGGAGCAGAAGCTAAAAGATGCCACGCAAGAGGCGGTCATTGGAAGCGTCCTGAAGTGCTCTGGACAACTTCTATTCTTTGCATGTTTTAAGTTTCTATATAACTACCAATAGCATCCAATAGCAACAGATTAGCATATGCCACCAAGTCGCAAAACGACTGGCACGTTCGACTCTCATCCCCCCCCGTCGACTCGCGCGAGGCAGAGAAGCAGCGCGTGGAGCTGCAGCGCTTGGACGCAGAGCTCCAGGAGTTCATCGAGGCGACCGGTCGTGGTGGGTCAGGTCGGACGTCAGGACCGTGGTGGGTCAGCATGTGGGTTCGTAAGGTATAGTTGCTAAGCTTGGCAGCCATGTGAGGTGCGGTTTCAGAAAATTCCCAAAGCCATCCCCAGCTTCCGGGATATTCCGTGATGTTCCAAGAGTCTTTTTGGGGAAGGATGAATCGAGACCCAGCTTGATGCTTCGATTCATCCAGCTGAAATTCCAGACGAGCACATGTCTTCGGACTGTCCAAGTGACAGATGCGAGAATCCAGACTGTGCTGTGCTTTAGCGAGGGTTTCAAGCTGTCCTGGGCTTCTGGCCTTTGGCATTGCTTAGATTGGGCAATCTCTTGAATCTTCTAGTGACACTATACCGCTATCCAGGAGGTGGCCGTTGGCAAGCAAAAACATACCCCTCCACCGGGGCCTTCTTGGAAGGCAGAGCAGGGACGCGACAGCATGGATCCTGACTCCTTGCTGCAGTCCATGGATCCTGACCGTCGGCAGGCGGCTGTGGGAGACTGTGGGAGGATGTTTTGTTTGTTTTTTATTTTTGGTGAATTCTTAGTCTCCCCAATTTTTAATCAAAGACTAGATTCTAATTTGTTCTTCAGTTTATTTGTCAATGATACTGAATACTAAAATGACTTTAGAACAAAATAATGGGAAGTCCGCAAGGGCGGGAATGCTAGAGTTGAAGATGAAATTGAACCAGTTTTGCCCAATAACCCACAAGTCCTTCAGTTGTTTCGCCCTCCTGACTTGTAGTTACTCTGCGAAGAAGTCAGAAGGTGCCGAACTGTTTCCCCTCTGCTTTCAAGAGTGTTTCTTTTGGTACCCCCAAACACATGATGAGAAATTCACATCATAAGGTGTGGACTCCAAACAGGGTTCGACCTCTCCAACCGAGTCCATCTCCATAGGTCCTGGATCTTCTTTCAGAGGACGGCTGGTTTTGACGAAGCCGCTCGCCGACCTCATCGTCGGCCTCGTCAAAACTCTACCTGATTTCAGACTCATCAAGAGTCAAGAGTCAAGTCTTGAGAGCCTGTTCGTGATGTGTGGTACAAGAGTCAAGTTCGTGAATCAACAGGTTCTCCGGTTCGTGGGACGTGGGCCGCTCAGGCTGGGGAAACACAATGGGACATATGGAACAGTTGCTGTTACCGTGTCCGAGGTCAAGGCACATACAAGGCAATGCATGCATCACCCAACCACAAGGCTACTGGAAGAAGAATAGCTCAGGGGAGACCGTTCTGGAGGTTTGTTTTATTTCGCCATGTTTCTTTTGTGAAGGCTATAGGCTGCCAGCGAATGTGCTTCTTGGACTGCGCTGTAGCTTTGGTAGCCGCAGCTAGACATCACAAGTATGGAGTCATCTTCTTTCTTATTGCACATAGAAACTTGTTGCCCCATTAGACAAAGCTTGAAACATGGAGGACATACACATGAAAACCAACGATATGTACAGCTCATGACTTGCTATGCTTTAGCTTTATGACTTCCTGTAGCAAGAGAATGAGTTCACTTCCCAGCGGCGACTTCTGCTTTGTCCACCAAGCCGCTGCAGGAGTGTGCCTACGAAGAGCTTTTGACGGCCTTGGACGAGTGGGACCGCCCAAGAGCCAAAGGGGTCGTGGTTGAGGGTCACCCACCGAACTGCCTCGATGACGCAAAAAGTCACACAATATTTAGGCATTTAGGCAAAAATTGAACACCTCTCTCTCTCTCTCTTTCCAACAATATTGGAAATGGACAAGTATGGACAAGTACTGTAGCTTTTGTAGAGGACAATGATCTCAAATAAGTGATGCATCTATGCCTTGTTGGACAAATACAGGCTATGTGTTTCTTGAAGGTGAAGCAGACATTCTGCCACCCACAGGCCAACCACACATGTCAGTTTCCAAACGCAACCTGCAGATGGCAAAGTCCATAAGACATAGAAACAATGTTAATATATAATTTGTTTATATACTGTAATCGCAAGGCTTGCCTGAACCATAGTTCCGTCGAAGCTCTAGCCTAGACTAGGCACTAGGGGCCAATAGTGGCAATCGGTTCACAAGTAATTACAAAGACTGAAAGTCAGAAAGTCAAGGCTGGGTGGGCAGCACAGGCCTCTGCCTGCGTAGAAGACTCCAAGTAGCGCACCGAAGACGGGCAAAGACACCGTAGTTTCCGTCCGAACTTCTTCGAGTCTTCAAGGCCGTCCGAGTCACGGGAAGTCGCTCCGTCTTTTCCCACCAAAAGAAGTACCAGGAAAAAGTAAGTACATGATCCGCGACCATCGGCCTACGGACTACGCTTCGCCCGTCGCCCCCCTTTTCTTCAGTTGCGGTCGGACTGCGGTTCGGACCCTTTTCTCTTCCATCTTTCCATCCGAAACTCGGTTCTCTAAGAGCTCTCAGTTTGGAGGTCGTAGTTCTTGCTGGTCTTTTCCTCCAGTCCGACCGTCGGTCCTCCCAGGGTCCAGGTCTGACGGCTTCGGAGGGCGCCGAAGCGATGTCCTCAGGTTGCTGGCCGAGCGCAAGATCGGCGTGGAGGACTTCATGCGAGAGGCGGCGAACACGCGGCGTGAGAACCGGTGTTCTGTGGCTGAGAAGGTGGCTGTGGGCTGACGTAGTCACTGCGCACCCGGGGCACAAGATCTGCACCCATGAAAGGTAACCGGCATGGCATTGCGGGTGGTCATGGAAGCCCATTCCGTTCTGCCACGGAGTCGACATGCGCAATTGGACGGCGCTGCAGCCGACATCTGAGGGCGGAAATGGTCGACCTCAAAGGTCGACCCGGAAATCGACAAAACATAAGAACAGTCCTGCAGGAACGGTGGTGAGCTCATGAGTGCTCATGTGCGACAAATGAAATGCTGTTAAATGCCAAGGGATGAATCCAAACCTATGGTGTAACATGGTGGAACTGCATGGTGGAACTGCATGGTGTAACTTCGTGCCCGAAAAGCTCCAGCACCAGTCCTGGTTGAGGTGCGCGATGTGAGTCGTCAGCAATTCATGTGCAAGATGAAGAGGCAGAAGGCGCACGTTTTTTTGGTCCTTCAGGACATACGCGAGGCAGAAGTGGCGGGTTCGGGTGGCGGGTTGAAATTCGGTCGAGGACATGTATCAAATCTAGGCCACGCCGATTCGCGATGTTTCGCACGCCAGGTCATTTAAGCGAAGTTGTTCAACCCCATGCGGGGTAGTGGCTGTGCTAGGGTTCGTGCTTCTGATTCAGGGGTGTCCGGTGCTGTAAGCTTGGAGTCAAGTGTCATAGTGTCCCTGAACCATAGCCTCGGGTGCACAGATTTTTTTAAAAAAGTACTTGATGAGTACGCACCTTCTATCGGTGCTGGATATGTGTCCATCGCCCCCCCCCGGATTCCTGGTTAAGTGCCTGGTAGATGCTGCTAGAAGTGTCCCGTTCATGCAAGAAGTGGACTGCACCAAATACGGTGTTCTCGTATTTTTTTGTTGTGTTTCGCTGTTGGTGGATTTCTTCCACCAACTAGGTGTGTTTTTTCATGTATCGTTCTCGTCCGCTTGGCTTGGTGTTGGTGAAAAGGATGGTCCCAGTGGGTGATTCCCAGGTCGGTCCTAGGTCTGGTGCTGGGTGATTTCTCGGGCTGATTTTCACAGGACTCAGGACTCAGGACCTTCTCTTTTTTTCCGGGTTTCCGTTCAAATCCATACGTTTTAGCCATTCCCTTCGTGTGGCTCTCCACGAAGTCGTGGATCAGTCTCCAAACCGAGAGGCGGTTAAAGCTGTCAAAGCAGCACATGGAATCGAGGAGGCTGGAGAAACGGATCTGCCTGAGGGTGTGGATTGGAAGAGGCTCTCTACTCTTCAGCGACGCATAAGGCGTAAGGATGGACGCATTCTTTGGAAGATGCAGAAGTCCACGTAGTGTGCCTCTATCGAAAGAATGATGGACACTGAGCAGAACCTCTGTTGTATGAAACTGTAACATGTAAGAAACATATAGATGAGGATCTCATGACTTTCCAAGATCCATGCCATCCACTTGTATGATTGTCTCAGGGAGTGTGGAGAGTCTGGGCCGCTGTTGTTGACCACAAGGCTGTCTTGTCCCTGGGTGTTGGTAGACAACAGTTGGGATTCCCCGGAAAGGGGTTGAATCCATAGGTTCTTCCCCAGTAGTTTTGATTGATGTCCTTACGAACATCATCCTTATTCTTCTCCCAACCCCCAGCATCTACCACACTCTCCATTCTGCATGGAAGCAAGACCACAACTTCCCTAACTGTCCATGTCTCCCAGGTAGCTGGGACCATATCCATGGGACCAGACGCTCACACGCACCCAGCTCGTGACAGATCGGATCGATCGTCGTGGATGTGAAAATATGTGAAGATCTTCGGGGCATGGGGCTTTCGATGGACACGACCCCGGACACGACGGACACCACAGGCTCCACCCGCAGCTTTGCCGACCGCCCCGGTGGTGGCCGTCGCGGCGCCAGCTGCCCCAGGCGATGTCGGTGGGATGGTGTGGTAGGAATTGCCCTGTGCGTCAACACCGTTTCCCAGAGTTTAGTTTGGTTGGGTCAAAACTTCACTCAGGCGGTCATTTTTCAGTGGAGCAATTGGAACTGTTTTGCGAACATGACGATTGAATGGTTCTGCGCCCCCTGGTCGATGAGGTGAATGGGCGCCGAGGAATGAGGTTATGACAAGCAAAAAACAAGCGGTAAGCCGGTAAGCTTTAATCCGCCCAGAGCCCCGCATTACTGTATATTACCGTATATGTTCGATATGTTTTCCCTCTCCGTCGACGGTCAGTGCCGGTGAGTGGTTTTCGTTTGAACCATCGCAGCACCCGATCCGTCCGGACCATGGAACTTCCCGTGTGCCTCGTGGTGCAGGAGTTGTCCAAGCGCACTCGTCACCCTCGTCACCGGGAGTCCGAGGGTGACGGTGTTTGGTATGCAAAACTGCTGATTGGTAGAGAAAACAGGCCAACACATACCAAAACGTACTAGTGGAGGTCCAAGCACTTCATCATCAGACCACTGAAATGCTGCCCCTTTGGTCTCTACAAACGGGCATCAACCGTTGCCACGCCAGTCATGGCGCGCACTGCTGTGGCTGCGTGAGGCGGGAAGCGATCAGACCCCGCGAGAGCCGAGCCACGAAAAAAAACAGGATCTTGAGATCTCAGAGACCATGATTTTCCCGTGGAGTTCCTCCACTCTGGAGTTCCTTTTCACATGAGTGAACTCCACGTGTGTTTTGCGTCGTCATGCTTCTGGATGAAGATGGCCAACAAAGCCACGTCCCAACCTCAGCACCAGACGTGAGGTCCACGCCTTGAAGGAGCACCAGACGAAGGAGCTGTGCAGCTGGGATCTTGCTGTTGGATGGTGAGTATCGACCCTTAGCCGTGATGAGTTTACAAGTTTATAATATAGTTCTAGACAGGAATGTAGGTACCACCCTTCATTTCAGGCTTTCTTTAAGAGTCATCGTTCTTGTGAGTGGGAGGCACGCCTCCGTCCCCTTTGCTGACAGCAAACAGATGACATGCTTAGGAGAAAAGGTTTTCCCACTCTTCGCTTGAAGATGTTTTGTTCTTGTGTTCGTTTCCCCCCAAAGCGCACACAATGAATGGATGACCCGATCACCCTACAAATTTACAGCACAGGAATGACCGTACAAATTTCCTGTCGAAAGCCACTGGGTGGCCTCGTGTTCAAAAACAGGAGCTTCAGCAGTGCAGGTCCCGTGAGTGTACAAATGGACCGTTTGGTACAGGCAACGCTGGAGCCGCTGGGGGCGTCTTCTGAAGACCTCGAAGATGGTCGAATGAAGGTTGCTAGCCTGACAGGTAACAGTAATAGAATAGGACGAATAGGTCGATCACAGTTAGTTCATGTGTAGTGTTCACGCAATCCACCTGATTCGACAGCAGTCATTTTTTTGAACAGCAGGTCTTGTGGGGAATCGATTTCGAGTCGTGTCTTCGTGGGCTCTTTGGAGAACGCTCTGGACTTGAGCACATCGTCTCGCTCGCTTGGCACGACTTGCGCGAGCAGCGCTTGCATCTCAAAGCGAGACGCACGAAGAACCGGTGACTTGCACCGGTGCACTGCCGAAAAAGGTGAATGGAACTTTTGCTCGTCGACCGTTTCGCAACTGAGACGCTGAACGAGTCACCCAGCCGGGTTCCTGCAGTTGAAGGAATTCAGAAAGACGGCACGGGCTCGAAAGCCTCATTTTTCACACGCAAACAGGGAAGTTCCCTGCGGTCTTTGGGGCAGAGTCCTATATTGTCCTCTTCATTTCTTTCTTCATGATCATTGTCGTGAACTAGAGTTGTATGTCACTTTTTGCCGTGATCATGGTGACGGGCTCAGCCCGGAACCAAGTGAGATTGTGGGTTTGTCCACCAGCTTTCCTGACTGGGTTTATCAGTATCAAGCAAGCTGGTGGAAGTGAAGGTGAACGAAACATCCGTTTTGAAGCGCACTCCACTAGCCTACTAACCAGCTTATTTTGATCCAATTTCGAGCTTGAGACATGGGCCTTGTGGTTGGACACATGGGGCCGACCTCAAAAAGGCCAATTCTTCGATGCGCCCGAGGATCAGAATCGAAACGGCCCTTTCATTGCAAACCCGGTGGAAACGTGGTCAACACGGTGGAAACGTGCATGGTGCCGGAGAAGTTTGGCTCGTGCAGGGGCCGATCGAACGAAGCCTTGCACTGGAGGTCGATGCGAAGTTCACAGGGACTGGACTTGGACAATGATGTCAAGTTGGGCTCCAACATCCTAAGTTATACTATATTTATACTATACAAACAGGCCATCAAGCAAATTCTTCTTCTGGCTGCTGGCTGTATCTATACTGATTGACAAGAATTCCAATGCTTAGTCTAAGAGTCTTAGAGTAATACTTGGTTGCTTCCTTCATCTTCTGAACCTTTGAAGCCCCCCAGCGGGTGGGGTAGCTCCGTCAGCACTGCCATGGTCTTGGAGTGGCTGAGCTCATTGGATGTGGCAGGCGCGGAGTGTTCCAGCTGTCGCCAGGACAACGAACCATGAGAAAGCTGGATCACCACCTGTACGAGGCCATCAAGTAGGGTATAGACCATATAGACATATTCTGGATATATATGTATACGGAAGTTACAGACAGTACACATATAATAACATATATAGTTATATGAGTAAGTAGGCTCTTTAGTCCGTCAGGTGTCCAGAAGGAATGTGGGCTTCACAGTCAGTTGGGAAGGTTGAGGACTTTCCACACCAATGCGAAGGTTCGGGGGATTCCAATCAGTCCATGCGTCCTTGATCCCCCGAAACGTCCGTGGGTGATGCATGTTTCGGTGTATTTGTTTCTTCACTTCCCAACGGTCTGGGCCAAAATAAGTTTTCTTTAAACCGGACCGGACGTCCGATGTCGGATCTGTTCAGCCCAACGGGTTCTTTGTACCCAACGCAAAGCGTCTTGGGACTCTCATCGCCGAACGGCCTCAAACGGTGACGTTGCGTGTTGGGGCGATGAGCCATTGCTGTGCCACAGATCCATGCTGTGCCTCTGCAAACGACCCACAGATCTGTGCGAATGCCCAAGATCTGGTCCCCAAGGTAGATGTTGGATGAATGGTGCAGATACCAATTATGAATCTCAATGACAGAACTGTGCTCTTGCCATCTACAGGTCACTGCACTCATCCTCGGCTTCAGGACCTCTCCATTCCAAGCACCATCAGAGTGCCTCAAACCAAGAGTCTCAATTCCTTGGCCCCTCAAGTCCTTTTCTCTGGGTGTTCTTTACTTCTACTCAGACGGTTTTTAGGAATCCTATAGACTAGACTCTCAGCATCGCACATCCCCCAAACCAACTGAGTTCAACACCTGTTGAGATGAACGGGCCACAAGTTTTTCTTTCAGCTTTCCGAACGGGTTTTCCTTCTCCGTGTCGCAAAATCTGATCTCGTCGACCGAGCCAAGCCAGATGCTCCTCACGTGGACCCCCTCGCTCATTTTTTGGGCCACCTGGAGATCGGCCACTCGCACGTGGAGATGGGGATCGGGGTTGGTTCTCGAAGCAAACCAATTATTTCATATTATTTCTTATCTAAACGCGTGAGTGGTTTCATGGAAAACACATGCGTCAAGGTGGTCTATCAACCACCCTGGGAGCTTTGGCTGGTGCCGTGGTAATGGGTGGGCTCACAAGCCGTGTGGAATTGGACCCACCCAACGCACTCAGCAGACCCACTTGCAGTCTACCTCTATTGGCATGACGGGCTGTGCACCTAGGCAGGGCTGTGCACGGACGTACGCACAAGGACATGCCTCAGTTTGCCGACCTGCAACGACAGTCAACATGTTAAACCTGATGTCTAAATTCTCTTTGTTGCTACTGTTACTACCTGCAACCACGTTTCCCACCCTTAGACCCATCAATGGGGACAACGCACGCTGTGGGCAAGTACCCAGGACATGGAGCTTCCTCCGGCTCAGACTTCCTCATGCTAGGCACTGTCGCTGGTAGCGCACCGTTCTGCGCTCGCATGCGGTGGATCAACCACTTGATGGAACCTGGCAAAGAGACCAATAACCAAGGCCATCACAGAACACGTGATCCAACACTCGAGGGTTTTCCTTTCAGGTGCTGCAAATACGGTTTCATGATAGCGATGTTTACAGTATATCGTTTAAGTGGAATCATGACGAAATCCGGTAGTGGAGAAAGAAGTTGTCCAAGGGGCTATGTTACCTTCGTGTCGTCCATCCGCATTTCATGTATGACTGGGTGTCTCAGTGTGACTACGTTTTGTCGAAAGCACCGCTCTGCACGTGCTCGGACTTGAGTTTTTGAGCAACTGCAGCCATGTCATGAGGCTAGCTTCTGTTTGGTGAGGCAGATTCTCTTCACATCACGCCTGTATCCTCCAAACGTATGGTTGATCATCTCCGGAAGGAGACGCTATGCGCCTGTATGCGCCACAGCATAGGGACACACCATGGGTCAAGTGAAGATTTTAGGAGGAAGTGTATGGTGATGTGCTTAAGTTTACCACAGGGATGGGGCCACAAATAAAGGTTTGGGATGGGGAAAGCCCAGGCTGGGTGTGGGGGTGGACCAATACATCTATGAGACAGACACACTGAGAGACCAACGAAGCATTCCATTTGCGCTGAGCCAAGCACCTTGTGTGAAGGTATTTTACCTGAATAGGTTTCGGGACGAGGAGATGAAAGGATATTACGGGGGCACTCCTGTTAAAGATGAGGGAACGAGGCACAACAAAGACTGCAAATTTCTTGAATCGAATCAGCCATTGGTCAGGTCAGACAGACGAGCACCTTTCGCACCATGTGCACCATGATCACCCAACGCTCGGGTGCCTGGAGAGTTGTAAAGGTCAGCAAAACTACATACTGCTTCCTTTGTTTTCCTGGGAGGCCTTAGTACTTAGTACCTTTTCGCCTGTTCGTTTAGGTGAGGTTCGAGATGGTCCGTAAAATCTTGTTGAGGGAGATGACCCAGCACAAGGCTACAGCAGCTGTAGTTTCGCGTTTACAAGGGACATGATTTGCCAGGGTCGTGATTCTGGCATGTGGATCAATGTGGGTCTTGCTATCGAGCCTTTTTGCATTATTTTGCATTCAGTTTATGCCAGTATGGAAGAAGCTGACAAAGCCCTGCAGTATGGAAAGCCACATGCCATAGGGATGTTTGCATCTTGCTTGCACAGCCTTTTTTTGTTGATTCTTGGCATACTCCCAACGCATTGGATGCACAGCTGCTACCTTTGGTGGAAAGCTTGGTCCATTGCAAGACGTCTCGGAGCGCGCAGGTCCATGCTGGAGGTGCTACCCAGGCGCTATGCACGAAAGCTGGCGACCAAGGCGGTGAACAAGGCAGTCTCGTCGGGGCAAAGTGGCGATGGCTCCAAAAATAGAAAACTGGTTAAAACACCTGCAGAATTCTGGGTGTATTTGTCCTGCAACGTCAGGTGGGTGACAGAGATTCGCCAGGACTCAGTGGCCTAAGTTATGTGGGGTAAACCCACTGCCCTTAAAAAATCAATCCGAATCTGCCGCTTTTGGGGGGTTGTGCCATCTGAAGGCCATTTTCCCTCGTGTTAAGCTGGTCAACCCGGAATCAAGCACTTTCCGACGGCGGTTCAACGGAAGAACCTTCTTGGCTTGGCCCCCAACGGTCCAGCGACCACACCGCAGACGTCCACGTCGGCGGGCACAGTGGGACAGACACACGTCGTTCCAAGTGCTTGGTTGGCTTCGGTTGCAAGATCCGTAAGATGTCGTTTTCTGGGCTTCTTGGCCACCACTGCATCCTTGAACATCCATATATATATATATATAGAGGAAGATCTGGTCCGACCGGCAGAAAAAGACGGACCGGCTTTTGTCAATGACACTTTAACGTATTTGGCAGGTGGAGGCCATTACGACTAGGTTGAAGGCAATCGCTATTAGGTTGGAGGCCATTGCTATTAGGTTGAAGGCCATTGTTTTGGGTTGGAGGCCATTGCTATTTGGTTGCAGGCCATCGCTATTGGGTTGGAGGCCATCGCTATTGGGTTGGAGGCTATTGCTATTAGGTTGAAGGCCATCGCTATTGGGTTGGAGGCCATTGCTATTAGGTTGCTTCGGATCATATGTTGCCGTTAGGAAAGAGCACCCAAGACCGGAGTCTCTGGAGTCTCCATTTTGTCTGGTCGTCCCACATGCTCCAGGCGGCCTGGCTGCATGATGCGGTGGTGGACTTTCAAGAGACGGAGCTCTTCTGGCAGGCGGACGCCTGAACGGAAGATCAGATTTGTATAATTGCAAATGGACACCTTGCAAAACACTTATATACACGCATCATCATGCATGCATAATAAAAAGATGTATAATGATGTATATATATATATACACATATCATTATATTGCATGCATATATAGGACCTCAGCGCTGATCAAATCGATCCCATGATCCAAGGCTCTATGGATTATGCCATTGCATTGTATGCCGAATTATGCCATTTACTCTTGAAACAACGAAGAAGCCTTTGGAATGCACGTGGTGCGCGAAGCCGCTGCCCAGGCCCACCGCTTTGCTCGCAGACATGTGGTGGCAGAGGAGGGCTATCGTCTCCTGTCGCTGGTGACGATTGGTACCGATGATAGCACTGCGGTTGGGGATGAGACATGATAGTATTGTGTGTGTCTTTACAAACCAGCTTCGCCACCATTTAAAACCCCAGCCGAGGGTTCTTGTTGTGACAAGATGGACGAGGTTTTCCTGGCTTCCGAATCTGCGAATGCTAAGAAACCACGGGTGAATTGGTTTGAATCTGGTCCATTGGGTACCTATAGCCGCCTTAGGACTTGTGCCACGCGAAACTCGTGCTTCCCAACTCAGAACCTCTACTGTTTGGCACAACCACACCTTATGCTTCAAGGGGCTTGAACTGCTGCTGCCAGCAAACATATCGGAAGGACCTTCAACTCAACTCCCCTACCACCCTCTTTGACTCCGCACAGAGCCTTACTGCTATATATTGACATCCATCATATCCCATTCCCATCATTCGTCATCCAGCTTGGTGCCGGACCCCAGGGCCCTGAGAAAATTCCAAGAGTTCCAAGCAGGGGCCCCTGGATCCCCAGAATGAAGTGTTGAAATATTGTAATCATAGACGACGCCCCTCGGCTCAAAAACTTCACCAACTTTGAATTGCAGGGATTGAACCTTTACTCTTATCCTCTACTTGTGAAATTGCGAAAGCGCCCATGTTGGATGGAGGGATACAGCGAGTGAGAGAAAACCAGTTCCGCGGCGGCCTTGGAGAGGCTTTTGGCCTCGGCGCCGTCACCGGCGGCCTTTTGCTGCTCACCGCCCCATCTCCATCACCGAGGCGACACCGGTGAAGCGGAACCATCACAGATGCAGTGTCCCGGAAGCTTTGAAAAGAAAGGGTACACTACAAATATGAACCAAATGGGAGCGATTTTTCACTTAGTTGATTTCTGAAAACAACCCCAGTTTTTCGGATCTCGGTACTTGGTACCTTGGACCCTTCGTTTTGTACTTCATGTCGTCATAGCCGGCCGGTCGGTCATTCGTGTTTGCGTCTCTGGCTACGGAGATGTTCAGGTCCCACAATTGCATTTTTTTTTTCGTGCGTCACCGACGGGGTCCTGTTTGTGAAGGGCTCACTAGGGATGTTGGCGCTTGGAACCATGGGTGATTTACAAACTGAAGAGGAAACACGGACAGCTTTCCAAGCTTCGTACAGAGTCCGGAGGAAATCATTCTTGCAAAGGGTGTTTTTCGCTGTTTCTGGACCTTTTCACCGGCATAGCCATCCAGAATTCATGGAAACGGAACCACTCAAAGGATCATTTCTCTTTTTATGCTTGTCAGCAAGTGGATGCTGCATCCGCTTGGCTTTTCCAGTTGGGAAAAAATGACAACCCAAAACATGGAAGTTCACCAGCCAGGTTTGGTTTATGCAGCTCTTTGAGAAACTCAGGGGATCAAGTCTGTGGGACTGACGGGCCTCCAACCTGAGAGCGATGGCCTCCAACCCTTCTTCAAAGACGGTGAGGGAAGGACTTGAATGTTGGGCTATGGGGTGAAGTTGTGGCCAGGCCCAAAGCGCCAGAAGAGAAGGTGCCAGAAGAGCGGGTAAATCAGTGCATGAGGGGCATCAGATGGACAGCAAGGAAAAGAACTTGTGGTGAATGTATTTAGAGCAACTCAGAGGTCAATCCTGTTTAGGGTCCATGTGAACATTCAGCCGGGTTGGTGGGAGATCAGGGGAGCCTGCGAAGATCTGGCTGGTGCATGCTGGGAGTACTGATTTGGTACCATGTATCCCGTCGAACTTTAAATGTGGATATGGTTAATCATTCTTTTAATATTCATTTTTCTTAGAGTCTTAGATGTGAGTGGTCAGTGTTTTTATGCAACATGACTCATGAAGACTCATGACACTGTATTGGGGAACTCAACTTAACGATAAGGATAGACTACAATTTTGTGGAATCTTTGACAGTTCCTTGGGTTTGCACTGCTAAGAGAGATCATCAAAGACTGACGGTCACAGTCTAAAATGTTGGTGGAACCACTGCTAAGCGGTCCGTCGGTGGATCGTGCTGGACAAGTTCTCCAACATCGATCGTGTTTTCGGGCTCAAAACACCCCATCCGCTGAAGGATGTCGAGTGGTCTTCCAAGGCGCAGAACACTTTCTGTATGCAAGACCCCAAGGCTTCGAGAGGAGTAAATTTGATGTGACTCCCGGTCGAAGTGAAAAAGATCCCCGAAACTGCAAGAAAAGGGAGGTTCTGCAGATCCCAATCCATTTCCATCTAAGTGAGGTAGAGGAGACTCCATAGAATTTCAAGAACCGTCTCAATTAAATAAGACAGGTGTCCTGGCAGACCTCCATATTTCGGTTCAGAAGAACCATCAATGGGGAGCAGGGGAAGTTTCCTGCATTCTTCTGTCTCAACCCATCAGCTGAAGCGACCCATTCTTCTGTGGCCTTGCATGGCCTTGGCCCGAGCTTCCAACGGTCCTTCCACGGCGAACGACTGGCAGGACCAACATACCCTGCAGAGGAAGGCTGGGCCAAAGGGGGTCGAACTGGGGTGTGTCGGTTGGTTCGAGGGTTTGGACGGATGGATCGGGACCGGCGGGCTGGGTTGATGATAGGTCATGATGTGCTTTGTAACCTTTGCATGCTCAATGTACAAAGTCATAAAGTACAATGAATTTGCATGCTCTTTCGTGTCTACAGGCATAGTCGTGGGGGATTGCCCCAGTTTCTACCTGAGGATCATAGTTGGAATGGTAGTTTTCTCTTACTGGCGCGGCAGGTACGACCGCATGTGCGAGCGGCGTTACCCACGCTGCCAGTGGTTCAGTCCTCAGCAAGCTGCAGCGATGGAGGAGAACTGGTAGGGTCGGTAGAATTGCCTGACCAGGACCACAAGAGTGCCAGAGTTTGGTTTGGAAGTGTTCAGCTTCCGTGCTTCTTCCTTTCTTCCTGCCTTCCTTTCTTCCTTCTTTCCATCCTTTCTTCCTTCCTTCCTTTCGCCAAGCCCCCATATTTTCTTGGTTTCAAGTTTCAAGCCTTTTCAAAAAGCTGACGTAGAGGTAAGCGCTACATTACAACAGAAATAGTGTAGCCAGCTTCTTTAATCATAGGTTGGGGTGCTGCAATCTTGCCACCCCTCCTAATGTGGTCATTGAAGATGTGAGTGCGCAGGCCAGCCCAAAAGGGTGTAGTGGCACAACCTCCTTCCTATTCATTCTCTTGCTCCGATGAGTTCGGGGGCAATGGAGTTGGCCGACTTAGCCGCGGTGGCCGCGGGAGGGGATACCTATCAAAAAGAAAATTAATTCCTATCAAAAAGAAAATTGATTCCTATCAAAAAAGAAATTAATTCGTATCAAAAATAAAATTCCCCCTACTCCTTTGGTCCTGGTCTGCTGGTTCCCTGGTCGCTTGGTCCTTTGGTCCCTTGGTCCTCTGGTCCCTTGGTCCCCTGGTCCCTTGGTCCCTCTGGTCCCTTGGTCCTCTGGTCCCTTGGTCCTCTGGTCCCTTGG